AAATATTTTAAGTGCCAATAAATGTCCAAACACTTCTATTATGTGTCAGAGATGCTGCCGGGAATCTCTGAGATATGATAAAGAGTTCAGAATGAGGAAAGATTGAATCTCAAAAGTTGAAAAGCAGTGAGCTTTATACCAGTTTCATCCATCAACCACCCAAAGAAAAAAATCATGTGAGCACTTACTCACATATTACGTAAGGAATACTCATTACATAAGGTAATGTGTGGTCGTTAAGAGTCAATGCGGATTTACCAAAAAGGAATGCAGAAGAACCCATTTGTGAGGGCGGTGATGCACAAGGGCATGGGAGGATTGGATGTGCGCTCTCTAACTCCAGATCCGGAAGTAGTACTGTGGTTTTTATTCATCAGGCCCACTTTTTTCCTCCCTGCCACCTCCACCCCCTCCACTAACTTTTTCCTGTCTTTCTACACGAGTGCATTCTGTGTGCCGTCTTGCTGTTCTCGTTTTGTTATTTTTAAGCTTCATCTTAGCACACTGAGTTTATATCTGGCCATTTCCCCACACTGATGTTCCCGTGATGAGCATGGTTTGCAGATAGCCTTCTGAGGTCTTCTTAAATATCTTGACCTTTTCCAGCTCTTCCCATCTAACTCTGTGCTGTCTCTAGTCCTGTTTTTGCTGTTGTGCTGGTCTGAACCCACCAGGTGTTTCAAGTAATCATCTAGTCTTCTGTTGACGACGTTTGTATATGAGCTATCATCACCAGCGGCCTTTTCACTTGCATCCTAGGAGACTGCCAGAATACAAATTCTGAAGATAAGCTAATTTAAAATTTTGTTTCTTATTTTACCCAGAATTAAAATAAGTCAAAGACATTTTTCTCAAGTTTGAGTGACATAAAAGACCACTTGGAAAGAAAACATTCTCTGAAACACCCAAGGTTGAATGAAATTACTTTTAGGGCAATATGTCGTAAATGCATCTAGACGTAACCCGAGTTATAAGCACTTTATGTTTATACAACTGAAAGACCCAAATAAAAACATATCAATTAAGTACAATGGAAAGTACAAGACCAAAATATTCTGATGAACTCTATCACCTTAACATGGCAGCAGTGGCAGCAGCTGTCACTTTACTGACACCAAAGCGAGGCTTGAGATCTGAACAGGCCCCTGATGGGTTGGTCCCGATACGTTCCATCTCAGTGTGGCTAGGACCTTGAGCGGCAGGCTGCTTCCCTTCCCCCACCACTTCTCCTGTAAGGCAACCCCTGGGACACTTGGCCCCAGACCATAGAGACCATGGGACGTCACCGGCGGGGGAACCCTCCGTTGCATTCTGGCCACTCTTTTCTCTTTCATTTCAGCAAACTAAACCATGAGGACTTGCTCCCAAAGAGATTAAAAGCACAGGAACTGACACGAGACTGAATTTCTTTTCTTTTCCTTTTTCTTTCTTTTTTTTTTTTTTTTTTTTGGAGTATTGCACTGTCGCCCAGGCTGGAGTGCAATCATGTGACCTCAGCTCACTGCAACTCCGCCTCCTGCATTCACACGATTCTCCTGCCTCAGCTTCCCAAGTAGCTGGGATTACAGGTGCATACCACCACAGCTGGCTAATTTTTTTGGTATTTTTAGTAGAGACGGGGTTTAACTGTGTTGACCGGACTGGTCTCAAATTCCTGACCTCATGATCCACCGGCCTTGGACTTCCAAAGTGCTGGGATTACAGGCAGGAGCCAACACGCCTGGCTGATGCTGAATTTCATAGCAGTTTTTGGCTAAATTGAAGCCAATCAAATGATCCAGAATATGCTTTTAGTATTGTTTAGATAATCATCAGAGTGGCAGCCCCAAAATGAACACCTTCTCAAAAAGAACCTTCAGCCTGCAAGCCTCAGGGGCCTCTAGCTGGAGAAGCACTCGGCTCAAGCATCTGTGTCTCACTTAAAGGAGCTAACTTTTCTTCTTTACAGTACCAGACGAGTCTGTGGCGACTAATGTATTATGTTTCCTACTAAAATATTCACCTCGAAATTTCTATTTATTTTCTTGGTGATATCACCTGTTTACATTTGTATTTAAATTTTGTTCACATTTATATAATCTTTTGTGCTACTCAGTAAACACTTATGAAGCACTTTCTCAAAGTATGAAATATAGGATTTCTATAGAATCTATAGAGAAAGAGACAGGAGGACATTCACTAGGGGAACCGCTTACACAATTATGGAAGCCAAGCAGTCCCGCAGTCTCTGAAAGCTGGAGAACCGGGAAAGCGTTTGGTCTCATTCAGTCGGAGTGTGAAGGCCTGAGAACTAGGGGCGGTGGTTTTGGGGATCTTGTAAGTCCTCGAGTCAAAAGGCCTGAGAACAGGAAATGTGATGTCTGAGACTCCAGAAGAGAAAGATAATTTGCTGTTCTCTGGCCCGTTATTCTGTGCAGGCTGTCAGGCTCGAAGTGCCCTCAGTGGATGGGATGGTGCCTGCCTACATTGCTGAGAGTGGATCTTCTTGGTCCATTAAGTTAAATGGATTGGTCCATTGATTTAGTGTTTCAGTCTCTCCCAGAAACACTCTCACATACACACCCAGTAATAACATGTTATCAGCTAGCTGGGCACCCCTTAGCCCAATCAAGTAGACACACAAATTCACCATCATACCCAGTAAAATTCCTCTCTAAAGTATCGTGTGCAAGTATTCATTTAGCCTATGTTGAAGAACCTGCAGTTACTAGCTTATAAGGCAATTTACTCCATTTTTTTTGTTGGTTTAAATCCTACTCTGTAAAACAATGCACAGATCAATCTTTATTGCAATGAGCATGTTCACCTGTGTGAATACAGGTTTTCTCATTCTTCAGCCCGCCCTCCCCCCAGATAAACACTCTCCGGGCTTCTGACCACTCTCACATCACAATGCTGAGGAGTATGAGAAATGGCTCCATAATTTAGTTCATATGTTCTGCATGCAATCCAGTCTCTTTAATAGGAAGTTCAACAGATTATGTAATCCATAGATCTCGTCTCAATGAAACAGGTTTTTATATCAATTTTGTTTCCAGAGAGAATAATATAACTGAACCTGTCAGAGTGGCTCATTCCTGTAATCCCAGCACTTTGGGAGGCTGAAATGGGAGAGTCACTTGAGCCCAGGAGTTTGAGACCAGCCTGGACAGCATAGTGAGAACCCATCTCTACAAAAAATGAGGAAGAAAAACAACTTAGCCAGGCATAGTGGTGCATACACCTGTAGTCCCAGCTACTCAGGAAGCTGGAGCAGGAGGGGGGTACCTTCAGCCAGGAGGTCAGCGCTGCAATGAGCCATGATTACACACTGCACCCCAGCCCGGAGTAAGACCCTGACTCAAAAAAATAATAACATAAAGGACTACAACCTAATAACAAGGAATAGTTCTATTGAAAAGACAGGGATGCAACGCATTTTACCTAATATTAAGCATATACTCGTCTGAATTTTATGTATCTATATATTTGGCCCTCAAATAACGTGAGGCTTAGGAATACCGACATCCCTGAAGTCAAAAAAAAAACTATGTGGAACTTTTGACTCCCCCAGAAGTTAACTACTCATAGCCTACTGTTGATGAGAGGCCCTACCTATAGCATAAATAGTCTGTGAGCACATGTTTTATAGATTATATCAAATATTATATTTCTTAAAGTGAATAGAGGAATGAAAAGGTTATTAAGAAAATCATAAGGAAGAGAAAATGTATTAACTAGCCATTAAGTGAAAGTGATTCATCATAAAGGTTTTCACCTTCATGGTCTTCACAGCGAGTGGCTGAGGAGGAGGAGGAGGAGGGAGAAGGGCTGGTCCTGCTGTCTCAGGGGTAGCAGAGGCAGAGGAAAAAGCTGTGTATAAGTGGACCCACAAAGTTCACATCCATGTTGTTTGAGGGTCAACCGTATTTTATTTTACATAGAATATATATTATATATGTTATTTTATTATAAATATCTGTATTTAGGCCAATACTTAATTATATAATTATATAAAATTATTTCTATATAATTTATGTATATGAGGCCAATATTTATATTAATTTATAATTATATAAAATTATGTTTATATATCATTTTTATGTTATATACTATGTATAAAATATATAATATTTAGTATATAGATATGAGTTATTGTCTAATTAAATGATATTAAGCTTATGCTGGTCAAAATTTTATATATCTATACATTGGCATGCATTTTACATATCTATACATTAAATATAATGATATTTTATACATATATGTTTTAATTATATGTTCCCATATATATGTACACACACATATATAATTTACCTATGTACTTACTTTATTTTACAACTGAAGAAGGAAACTGTGAAAGCCTAAGGAGACTTGGATTGACTGGGTGGCACAAGGAAGTGCAGGCAGCACGACTGCTGGGGCTTCTCTCTTGGTCCTTCTGTCATCTGCCCTTTCCATACTCAAACGCAGGATCTCACAGGTCTTCACAAAGCCTCTTGGCAAAACCAGGCAAGATACTAACCTGCAGTTGAGCCCTGCCAAGAGCGAACGTCCAGCTGCCCTGCCTTTGTTCCTCCCTCTCGCTGAGCAGGCCCCTGGCCTTGAGGGTGAGCAAGCAGGACATGCCGAGTAAGTCAGAGCCTGCGGTCACCAACTCCCCCACTCTGGCCCCATGGAATCCTGGCTGTATATGAGGAACAAGTGACATTCTGGACATATTTCTAAGAACCAGAGTGGCATGATATCCTAAGGCCAGATCATAATCAGAAGGGAGAGAAGGCCTGGCCAGAGTCACGTGCAACCGTTTTCTAAAGAGGTGTGGTTGGAGGCCAGGCAGCGGCCATAGCTCCTTTGAGGGTTCGGCCTTTTTTGTGGTTGGTTAGATGTGTGTTTTTCAGGTCTACATCTGTGTCCTCCCAAAAGCAACATTGACCGTGGACACTCATAACTGTATGTAAGAATGTATAACCACACAGAGTGAAAATGACATTTTTGTGATTAATTCTTCTTTCCAACAGCTGGCTGTCCCAACTCCTTGATTAAAGAGCTCCATCACTTCAGGATTCTGGGAGAAGAGCAGGTGAGTTAGCATCTCAAAGGCTGCGTCAGACTGTCATGAAAGATAGCGGCTAATGAGACAGTTTGGGGTCCCCAGGGAGGCCAGGTATGTCTCCTGACCCTGGGCGCCCTGAAATGGGGAAGAAAACCATGCTGGAGATATGTGTGAGGACACTTTCCTCCTCTTCTATCCATCAGACCTGACAGGTTATTAATTGCTACATCTGCTATCTGCCAGTGCATTTCAGCTCAACACTCAAGCAGGAAGCAGGCACTGTATCGTGGCAGATGAGCAAACAAATAAATGCAGAGATGAATTTTGCCTGAGGGGTCGATGGTCACAGACATTCCTGAGTTGCTGTCTGTGGGTGGATGTACGAGCTCTTTTCACCAGGTTTTTGTACGGCGTGTTTGCTCTCTGTATTTCATGGCAGTCTGTACACGGATGTGAACGTGTGACGTCAATACAAAGGGTGGCCATTTAAACCGGTATTATTCAAGTGCTGTGTTGTGCTCAGTGAGACATGTCATAATTTAAATAGATGTGCTAAGTAAATAATTCAGGGTGCTAAATATTATATATATGTACACATATATATAGTTTTGACTGCTTAAAAATACATTTCATGATCCCTGTGTGATACTACAAACTCTGTATTACTACATTAAATCTAGATGTCAAGTTGTCCTTAAAATACCCTAAAGAGTTAGCGAAAGGTTGGTTGACCTGACTTCCAGTGTTATTTATTTTTACTCCCAAAGACTGTCTCTGCCAACTTTGACCAGGAAATCTGCAAATGGAGATGCAGCAGCTCACTTTCATCAATGAGTTTTTGGTTTGTGTGTTTTTGTTTGGTGTCTGTATGTGACAAAATGCTACTGCCCATTTCCAATATGAGAATCAAGGCAAAAGGATCCGTTAAGAAAGGATAAGAAACTGGAATCACTTCCACATGCTTGAGTTAGCAAATTACAGTACATCTCTTTCATCATTTCATATTGCAAGTTTCCAGAATAACAGGCATAAATGTGTATTCAAATGTCAGCAAAATCAGTTATCCCGCACTGCAGGTAAAAATTGATAACTGACTCTTTGTAACACAGCTACTGATGAAGACACCTGGATCTCACAGCCATTTTCCAGTGAAAGCCTAAAGACTTTTTAAAGCAACAATCACGGTTGCTACCCTGACATTTCTGTTCAGATAACGGAGCCTTCTCTTCTAACTTGTACGAATATTGGCAGACTGTTTCCACATTTGTTTTAGCGTCAGTGGGTAATTAGTGTAGAAAAAAAGCCAATAGTAATCATCTCCTCAGATGTGTTTTATAAAACTTAGATCACTTTGCATTCTCCTAGAAATTTAATTGAGTCATAATCAAAATTAATATTACTAGGATTAGTTATGGTAATACAGTGTATCACAGCAATATTCATCTCTATTTCCTAAAACACTCATACACACACACACACACACACACACTCACACACACACTCTTCCTTCTTTCCCTCAGCTGATACTTACTGAGCACCTACTATGTGCTATGTACCATCCTAGGTCATAGGGATAGAGGAGTGAAAAAGAAATCTCCATATTCTACTTAGAGAAAACCAGATTATACATGTAAACATATTTAGTGTATATTATGTTAGATGGTTATCATTGCTATGGAGAAAAAGGACATCAAAAAGAAGGACAGTGGCCAGGTGTGGCGGTTCACGCCTGTAATCCCAGCACTTTGGGAGGCCAAGGTGGGCAGATCACTTGAGGCCAGAAGTTCAAGACCAGCCTGGCCAACATGGAGAAACCCCATCTCCACTAAAAATACAAAACATTAGCTGGGCATGGTGGTGCATGCCTGTAATTCCAGCTACTCTGGAGGCTGAGGCAGGAGAATCCGGAATCCAAGAGATGGAGGTTACAGTGAGCCAAGATTGCACCATTGCTCTCCAGTCTGGGTTACAGAGCAAGACTCTGTCACACAGACACACACAAAAGAAGGGCAATGAATGCTGGAGGAAGAGGTGACGTTTTATGTAAGGTAGTCAGGGAGAGTCTCACTGAGCAGGTGACGGGTGAATAAAGACTGAAAGGTATCCAGGGAAGCCTCACGGTGACACCTGGGAAAGGAGATTTCCAGAGAGTGCACGAAGCAAGGACAGAGGCTCTGATGTGACTGCGTGCCTGGCTTTAACAATCACCATGTGCCAGAAGCCAGTGTGACTGTGGAGGGAAGGAGGACTGGGCAGAACAAAGAGGAGCCACGTTGCATAAGATAGGGCTGTAGTAAAGTGGGAATGAGCCAGGTGTGGTGGCTCATACCTGCAGCCCCAGCACTGGTCCTTGGATGTAGGTGTGGCCTTAGACAAGAGAGGGACCAGTTCCACCTGGCAGCAGTGCGGGCAGTGTTTTGATGGTAAACCTTCCTGACTGTCTCTGCTGGTTGCTTTTCTTTTCTTGGTGAAACAGAGCTAGGTTATTAGCTGAGAATAAAGATGAGGGAAGAGTTTTACAGGGAAAGGAGCTGTATTAGTCTGGTCTCAAACTGATATAAGGAAATACCTGAGACTGGGTTACAGAGGAAAGAGTTTAATTGACTCACAGTTCCACATGACTGGGAAGGCCTCAGGAAACTTACAGTCATGGTGGAAGGTGAAGGGGAAGCAAGGCACCTACTTCACAAGGCAGCAGGAGGGAGAAGTGCAAGTAGGGGAAATGCCAGCCGCCTATAAAACCATCAGATCGCGTGAGAACTCCCTCACTATCACGAGAACAGCATGGGGGAACTGCCCCCATGATCCAGTCACTCTACCCTTGGTCCCGCCCTTGACACATGGGGATTATAATTCAGAATGAGATTTTGGGTGGGGACACAGCCAAACCATATGAGGAGAGGATAATGAAGCTCATTTAGGAGAGTGAGGAGGGAATAAACTTGGAATATGGATGAATTTGGAGTGAGGTCAGTCTGTGGGCATTTTTCTGACACACTCTGTGTAGGCACAGACAGAAAAGGTACTGGCCTTGAAGTCTTGCCATTGAAATGGAACAAAAACAAGAGGGAGGCGAAAAAGCTGAGGGTGAATCTCATCTTACACTGTTACGATGACAGTATAAGCTGAGGGTGAATCTCATCTTACACTGTTACGATGACAGTATAAGCTGAGGGTGAATCTAAGGGAGTGATTATGACTGACCACGGAATTTCAGATGGGCAAGCAGAGATGCCAGATGAGAGAGGACAGGGAAAGTTGGTTACAGATGCCAGTGGCTCAAATAATTTGTTGGGATTTGGGTACTAGAGGGATTGAACTGGACAAACAGGCATTGGCCAAAGAATGAAAGATGTTGCTTTGAGCTTGTGGAGGAGCTGCATGTTCAGCAGGGAGGAGGTGGGAGGAGGCCCGGGGAGACCGAGTGTCCGATTTCAGGTGGAGGACAGGTGATGAGAGAAGCTGAGGTCATGGATTTGGGAAATCTGAGAGTTGAGAGTACCACCCACGTGCACACTGAGATCCTCCAGAATTGCAAACTGAAGATTTGAGAAATGGGAAGGGGGGAGGGGGAGAGAGAGGGAGAGAGGGAGAGGTGGATGTCAGTAGCTGACTACAGAAGGAGAAATAGTGTATGGTGTAGCCTGATGGGTTGAAATGGAAAGTTGGAGGGCTTTAGAAGGAGAAAGGGAAAACGTTCTACTTAGATCACTGTAGAGCAGTGCTTAGCGGTGTTAGGAGTGCAGTCACAAAAGCATTTGAGGGTGCCGTGGGTGAAGCAGTGTCTTTGGGTACAAGACCGTTTCTGTTAGGGAAGAATGTAAGGAAAACATTGAGAAAGCAGAATGCAGTGGCAGGGCGGTTACTGCTGACTGCCCATGAGTTCCCCAAGCACGGGGGAAGGAACTCGGGCTGAGGCAGCTGGAATCTATGGTAGAAAAAAGGATGCCCAGAGCCAGATGTGGAGGATGTGGAGCTTGGGGCTCAGCCCGGACAGACGGAGGAATCTCCTGGAGAGGCACAGGAGGCAGGCATTCTTTGGTGACTGATACGAACAGGGCATAACTGTCAGGGACATTTATATCCTGTTGATTCATGACAAGACCTACTAGCCTCTAGGCAGATGGTGGCATGAGGCTCCTGAGAGGAAGCAGAGAGCTCCCATCACCAGCACTCCTGCCAGCGGTGGGGACTGCTGCTCCAGGAGCTGCTGAAGCTCTCGGGATCTCACTGGTTGCTTGAGGCAACTGATATCACTTGATGAAATAAAATGTTTATATTAACGTATATTACAAGCATCCTTGGACAAATCATTTTTGTCTGAGGGTTTTGTAGATATAAACTACAAAGGCCAGCCATCTCTTAGAATATCTTAAAATAAATAGGAAGTTAAAAGTTACAAATATTAACTGCTGTGCTGAAATTTCTCTGATTTTAAAGCCTGTTTACATTCCAGCTATACATACTGGCAAAATAGTACAATAAGTGTAATACTCACTTAGAAAGTGAATTGATAAAACCTACAAAGATTCTGGTTAATTACTGACCTCATTACAAGAATAGCAGAGACTGATACCTGCCCTATAATTTATTGGTATGTGATTCCTTTCTGTTTTCATTTATCTTTAGTAGATGCCTTGATTTTTTAGATTTGGATTAAAAAATAGACACTACAAACCATTGCCTTCCCAAAATAAAAATGAACTCCTTAAAATAATACGTTTATATTAGTTTCTTGGCCCCTTCTCTGATCTGTGTTCACAATTGATATTCATAAAGCACCTTTCAATACTCCTTCCCCCAGTCCAAATTCTTTGGCAAAGACATTATTGCATTGTAGGAAGTAAAGTCACTCTGAGGTTCTAGATGAGCCCTACAGAAATGAGGGGTGATGTCGGGAGTCCATAAGGTTTTCAGGGCTTTTGGACCAGTTGCATTTCAGAAGTACCTTCATTTATACCAGCTTCCTCCACCTTAGGTTTAATCACCAAAATTTCGTAGAGATAGCCTTCATTCATTCAACAAAA